CCATTCTCTCATTATGTACCTTTTAAGTGTCAGTTAGATGCAGGCTGGACTTTCCTGCTCATCTTCTGTGTCTCTTTCACTGTCATGAATTCTATTGCTTTGTCTCCCTGGCTTTACTATAAGAAAGTTCTTTGCCTGTGTATTCCACACCACTAATTCTCTCTTCAGCTATATCCAATATGCTATTAAATCCAACAATCAAATTTCTTCTTCTTTTTTTTAAGATTTTATTTGTTTATTGAGAGAGAGACACACACAGCAAGAAAAGGAACACAAACAGGGGGAGTTTGAGAGGGAGAAGCAGGCTTCCTGTTGAGCAGGGACCCTGATGTGGGGCTCAATCCCAGGACCCTGGGATCTTGACCTGAACTGAAGGCAGATGCTTAAGGACTGAGCCATCCAGGCACCCCTCTTCTTCTTTTATTAATTTCTAAAAGTTCTGTTTGGTTTTCTTAAAATTTGCCTGTTCAACTTTGATAGTGTCTTACTCTTTTGTTATATGTTCTAGTTCATTTTTTGTATCTTTAAATATATCTAACTATACAATTAGATATTTCTTTGATAATTCTAATGTATACAGTCTCTAAAGTCAGAGCATAAAAAAGGTGGGCTTTTACTAACTCTCACACATGCTAGCTCATTTTCTTGTTTATTTGGCATATTTCAATGTTTAGTTCATGTCCTTTGAAAGTTCATTTGTGGAAACTTCTGAGGTCTGGGTTTAAGTTCTCTTTCTCCAGAGGCCATTTGTATTACTTCTGGCAAATGCCTGTGCATTTATCCAACAAGGCCACTTTAAATAAATTCATCTAAAATTTTATATTATTTTACTTTGTCAACAGAGGTTGTATGAATTCAGGCCCTAAACCCAAGTAAGAAGAGTTTCTTCCCTCCTTTGCTATTTCTTTTCCTTCCTCTCTGCTCCTATTTCATTTCTTTCTTTTCTTCCCCACTTGAGGTAAGGCCAATATAACATTTTTCTTTACTAAATTCCTCTGCAGGACATTCATTTTTCCTAGTGCCACTAAAGGTGCCTTTTGGGGTATCAGCTTTTTCCCAAAGGGTCTCTCATTGTACCTATTACTATGCCTGCTTGCCAGGTTTTGCTCTCTACTGACCATACCTGGGGCTTATTCTTCCCCAATCTGAGGCCCCAGTGATGTGCAGAATAAACAATGGCCCTCACCTGCTTATGTCTCTGGATTCATGCTTTATTGTCATTTCTAGACTCCAAGGAATTGCCTTATTTTGCTGCCAGCTCAGCCATGCATTAACTGGAACTTTTTTTTTTTTTTAATTCTTTTTCCCAGCAATTTTAGGTGTGCTAAAGTGGAAAAAAAATTCTCTAAGGAAAGAGAGTCCTCTATGCTTTTAAAAAGACCTTTACTTGCTTTAGATATGAGACATCTAGATATTAGGGTATCTGTTGAAGAAGGCATTAAAATATTTGCTTTATTTTCTGGGTGACAAATCAAAATGTGAGATATAAAATCAGTGTATGTTAAAGGCAAGGACAAATTTTCCAAATCTGGGCTTGCTTTTTCCTTTCTGGGCAAAATTTCTTTGCTTCAGTGAAAAGTAAGGTATCACTGGGCTTCATAATATTCTCCAGTGGATGTGATTAACCCAGTTCTTTTTGAAGAATATTTCTAGGAATTTGTCTTACTTATGTTCTTTTCCAACTCTGCTTCTCTTCCAGGAAAGTTATAATCACATAGAGTCATACTGAAATGAAATTATTGAAGGCAGCCAATAATGTCATTATTTGGCATTTTAAGCTGTAATAGGCAACCTAGCTTTTACTTCTCCCTTTGCTCACCACATAGCTTCAAGTGGAGTTTCTGGCCAAAGATGAAGACCAACAACTCTCCCCTCTAAGTTTCTGATGCATCCACAAATAGTGTTGAAAACAACAACCAGAAACAGACAGAGCAGCCCAGCATCTTTCATGAGAGAGAAAACAGAGAGTGCACACTTGGTAAGAAAGAAAGGAGTATGACTTGTATCCTCTCTCAAGGAGACTTTGGAAATCTTCCTCAAGGATTTTGACATGACACCTAGCTGGCAGAAATAACACCTGTATGCACTGTGTAATTTTTAGAACATAAACAAAACATGTCATGCAGAACAGCTTGTGACTGGAAGCCAAGTGCTACTTCTGAAAGGCCAGGACCCTCCATGCCATGACTGTGGGGAGACCAGTGGGAGCCTGGTCACACAAGCAGGGTGTTTTCTCTGCGTTGATTCCCAAATTGCGTGGACAGGGGATTAAGTCCAATCACAAGAACATGTTTTGAAGCAAACTGCTGTATAATTAATCCCTCCAGCTTCCAAGGGTGCATTGTAAAGAAAGCTATTGCTGATCAAAGGAATAGTTAATAGATCCCCAAAGCTTTATAGAGGTTTATTGCTTGTGAAGTTCTTTCAACAGATTTCTTTGAATTAGGCTCTAAAAATGCCTCTTAACATAAAAGAAATGGCAAATATTCAACTTTGTGTCTTTGAGTGTATTACTCTGTGCCTCAGTTTCCTTATCCATACAGTATGTGTCTGTGGGTGTGTGTATGTGTTGTGTGTATTGGAAGGGAGGGAGTTGGACTAGATGACTTCTTATCCTGCTTCTTGAACTTTAATAAGATTAATATGCAAACACTGCTTCTGCAGTTCTGGAAAGGCCTGAGGTTTTGCATTTCTAACAACTTTTCTTGCGATGTCCAGGATGCTTGTCCATGGGCCACACTTGAGAGTGGGGAGGCTCTGGGTTGTGCCTCTGACACCTGATGACCTCAGGACGGGTTTATTAGAAGGAAACATGCTTCATTTTGATGATTCCCTTTGATGATTCCCTCACATTATAAAAACTTATTGAAGACCACTTTTTGCATAAAGAAATCTCCAAGGCAAACAGATACCTTAGCTACTGAGGAAGAGGTGAGCAAGAGCACCAAAACTGCTGGTCAGGATGCCTGAGGCAGGGAGATGAGTGGTGGGCACATGCTGGGAATGATTTTGAAGAGCAGAAAGTAAGATTTACAAGACATGAGAAGAAGGGGGAGTCAAGTCTGATACCAAAAGTTCTGACCTGGAGTAAGACTGACTAGCAGAAGAGAGCTCCTATTTACTGAGCAGGGACAATGGGGGAAGAGCAGGTTGCGGTGGGTGGGTGGGTGGGTGAGCAAATCAAGAATCCAGTTTGGGTCTGTTAACGTCACGATGTCTACTCCCCATTCAGAACTCCATGTCCAGTGGGCTGCAGGCATCTGGAGGCCGCAAAGGGGCCTGAAGTTTCAGAGTCATCAGTGTGCGGAGAGCCTTTACATTCATTATTTCACTGAATGATAACAACCCATTATGGATTCAGTGTGATCACATCCTTCATTTCAGAGGTGAAGAGATTGATGCCGACAGATCAAGGTCACTGCTTTGAGGCCACGGGACCACCGAGGGAAGCCCGGTGGTCAGCCTCCAGAGCAAGGAGGGGCTGAGGACCAAATACATCCCTGCAGGTAGTCATGAGCAGACCATCAGCAGTTGGGTGAAGGGAAGGGTGCAGGCAGAAGGCAGACTCAGAGGACAGCACAGATGACCACGCTTGAAGTGTTAACATGAAGGGCTGGTTGAACACCCATGTCTGATAAGTTTGTGCTCAGATGCTAACGAATTCTGACCAAACTCAGTTAACGTATCTGTGGGGCTAGACAGACATGGGTTGGGAGGTCCTGTGGCATTACCGCCCTGCTGTGAGGTTCCCCTGGCAGCTAGCACTCTAATTTGTCTAATGGCACTGCTAAGTGCTCAGTGAATGTTTGTATTGATCTAAAAGTGCAGCTTTCCCCAGATGATGCCAAAGAATCCTTCGCCTAGCAGTGCGCTCTAGCAGATGTGAGTGGGCTTGGCAAGGGGGGGCCCCTGGTGAACACTGATGCTTATTTAGGAAGGAGAATCACAGAGGATTCTCATGTGGAATCACAGAGACACTGCCCTAACTAGAGAAGACACATAAATGAGCTCCTAGAGCTAAGGAAATGGAAGAGATGCCTCATAAGACAGTTGTTGCGAAAGCAGCTCTGGGGTACTGGATGCAGAACTTCTGCTTCCAGTCTGGAAGGGCAGAGGTGACCAGTTGAGTGGAAAATCTACCCAAGGTGCCACATCCCCACGCTTCTGATGCAGGGATAACTTCTGCCAGGAGAATACATTCAGACCAAGTCAGCAACTCGAATCAGAACCCACAACTTGGCTAGGTTATGAGCGGACCTGAGGACAGCCTAGTGACTCGTATCATTTTGCTGGTCATAGTAAATACTTCATAAATACCTTTTGCATAAATGAGTGTGGTTAAGTAGTTGCTGACATCAGAGAGGCTTGGCAAGATTCCTCCATAAGGGGCTGGTTTTGTCTTTAAACTCTGGTTTAAGAGGTTGTTCTTTCTTAACGTTAGCAAGCAACAGCGTGTAGTTAGCATTCAATAAAAACTCTAGAAATTATCGTAGCAAGGGCCTAAGCTATGAGAAAATTAAATAACATTAGGAAAGAGTGTTTGGCTCGATCATACAGATCAGTTTTTGAGTATCAGTTATTCGTGCTGGGGAGGAGCCCTGTGGGAGGCCCCTACTTACCTGGACCACCACCCACCTGCTCTGGGGTACTTCAGCTGTAGCGGGGAGTGGCTTCTTTCCAGAACGGTTTGCTAATCTAATGTAGGTCAGTGAGGGAAATGATGTATTAACAAAAAGGTCCAGAAGTGACTCCTAGACCCCAGTGTAGCCAAGTCCATAAGGGGTGAGAATTCAGGGAATTTTGCAGTCAAATCAGGGAGATCCACCAGGAATTAGGCCTAGTTTCCCTCCAGAATATTGTACATTTGCTCAGAGTGAATTCCAGAGCTAGGACAGAAAGAAAAGAACTGGAAGTCAACTCTCCCTGGCCGCGGACTGGGCGGGGCAAGGCCTTTCACATCCCTGCTGGGGCAATGCCTGCTTCCGGGTTCATGCACTCACCACTGTTGCTGCGTTTCCGTGGGTCATATCCTCCTCCTGGCCCATCAGCTTCTTCAGGAACCTCCACAAGATCTGAAGTCTTAGAAAAAAGAAGGAATGACACGAAATGAGCAAAACCCTTTCAGTGGGCCAAGTGAGCAGAGAAATTCAATGTCTGTAGAGGTATTAAGGTAGAATTTGCCTGACACTGTCTGAGGAACCCAATCATGCTGTGGTCTGGCTAACTTCAGAGAGGCTGTGTGTTCCCTCATGGGGGCGGTGGCTCCCTTCCTGTGTGTCTGCAGGCTCAGGGGGCAGCAGGGGGCGCATGAGAGGCACTCAGTGAGTGTGGAATGAATTTCTAGATGCCCAGGGACACACAACAGAGAGAAATCAGAATTCATGCCCATACCCTGTCATGTCAAATTCTCACTGACACTAGAGCTCTTGTAGAGGTAAGTTTTAAATATAGATGGTCCCTCAGCATAATCTCCTCCAGTCCCATCCATGTTGATGCAAAAGTTGGGTATTCATCCTTTCTGATGGCTGAGTAATATCCCATTGTATATATGGACCATATCCTCTTTAACTGCTCATCTGTTGAAGGGCATCTTGGTTCTTTCTACAGTTTGGCGACTGTGGCCATTGCTGCTATGAACATTGGGGTACAGATGGCCCTTCTTTTCACTACATCTGTATCTTTAGGGTAAATACCCAGTAGTGCAATTGATGGGTCATAGGGTACCTCTATTTTTAATTTTTTGAGGAACCTCCACACTGCTTTCCAAAGTGGCTGCACCAACTTGCATTCCCACCAACGGTGTAAGAGGGTTCCTCTTTTTCCATATCCCCTCCATCATTTGTTGTTTTCTGTCTTGTTAATCTTTGCCATTCTAACTGGTACAAGGTAAAGGAAAGGAAAGGAAAAGTGAATTGGGGGAAATCAGAGGGGGATATGTACCATGAGAGACTGTGGACTCTGAGAAACAAACTGAGGGTTTTAGAGGGGAGGGGGGTCAGGGGATGGGGAGAGCCTGGTGGTGGATATTAAGGAGGGCACATATTGCATGGAGCACTGTGTGTTGTACATAAACAATGAATCTTGGAACCCTGCATTGAAAACTAACGATGTATTGTATGGTGACTAACATAACACAATAAAAAAATAAATAAATATAGATGGTCCCCTTCTGATTTTTTTTTTTTATTTTTTTGACTTTACAAAACACATCAGTAGAAGCTACATTGAATTTTGCATTTGGATCTTTTTCCGGGCTGGAGTTACATGGGAGTTTATCCCCAGAGGATGCTGAGCGGCGCCCGGGGCTCTGGGTCAGTCCCACGATCACGAAGGCGGCGTCCACGAAGCCATTGTTTGTCACTTTCAGCGCAGTTTCAATCAATGACATGAGCGAGTCAACACTTTGTTATCAAATAGGCTTTTTGCTAGATGATTGTGCTCAACCGTAGGGGAATGCAAGTGTTCTGAGCACATTTGAGTTAGGCCAGGCTGAGCTACGATGTTTTCGAGGTCAGCAGTAGCGAACGCATTTTTGACTTTGGGTAGTTTGAACTTACAATGAGTTTATTAGGATGTAACCCCATTACAAGCTGAGGAAGACTTGTATTGACTATAGAGAACAAGATGCAGCATCGAGGGGCGCATGACCTAGGTATGAGTTAAATGTCGTTTCCCCGGCTGCACAATTATTTACATAATACTTACTCTGCCTTTTCTTTTCTTTTAATAGGATAAGCCACAGCCATTCTTCCGCTTCAGTTACAGAAATAACATCATTACTCTAAATGGCTGATGGTTCCTGATCATTTATCATGTGCTGTTTTATGTACCATATATGTACCTGTTTATTCTTCACAGTAATTCTGTGACAGGCATACTTTTCAGTGACGAATGTGGAGCCCAGGGAGAAATCAGTAGTCCTTCTTGACGTCCCACGGCCACTAAGTGCCAGAGCTGGGGTTTGAAACTCAGGTGCTTTCTTCAGAGCTCATGTGTCTGAGCTTCTTCCAGCGGTGTGCTGGAAGGGCTCATACGGGCTGGTGAGAGCCTTGATGGCCTTCACATTGCGAGAGTGAAACAGGCCTGCGTGGGAGTATTTACACCATGGAAATTGGCAAATGCTACAGATCAGGGTCCAGCCCCAGCTAGTAGTTAAACTTTTATCAGCACACCCCTGATTGCGTCTATCAAACGGCCAGGTGCCCTGGCTTTCATCTGCTTGGCCCCCATCTCTTTGGAAGAGGAATTTAGGGGGCCTCCGAAGAGGATCACATTTTTTTTTAAAGATTTTATTTATTTATTTGATGGAGAGAGACACAGCGAGAGAGGGAATACAAACAGGGGGAGTGGGAGAGGGAGAAGCAGGCTTCCTGCCAAGCAGGGAGCCCAATGTGGGGCTTGATCCCAGGACCCTGGGATTATGACCTGAGCTGAAGGCAGACGCTTAACGACTGAGCCACCAAGGCGCTGTGGGTCACATTTTGAAAACAATTTGCTTACATCTTATTTCAGAGGAACAAGTTTGCCTTCCCAGCCCTCTAGCCCTCCCAGTCAGCTCAGAGCATTTTAGCACGACCCTTGAGAGACTGATTTTTTATATAATCCGGTTTAAGATTTTCCCCAGCCATTCTCACTTGCATGACACATCAGAAAGATGGAAAAAAAAAAAAAAGTCACAGGATCTCTAAGTCACTTACACCCTGCTCCTTTGAAGCTGGCTATTTCTGAACAAAAGTTGCTATTATTATGTTAATTTAATTTTAGGAAACTGAAGATTATTCCCAAACTGGTCAAACCACTCCCAGAAAGTTTTTGAATTTGGTTTCTGCAGGCCTTCCCAAAGCCATCCAGCCTTTTATATTCCAGAATATTTGAAAACACATTAAAAGAAATATAATGATTTAGAAACAGCCAGGTGGTGACTCCCCGACAATGTAAAGCCAATGGCCCCGCAGCCCTGGAAGAAAATAAATGTGTGGAGCAGTTTGCTGTGTGGGAATATGTTAGCTTTAGGACATAACAAAACTGCAAGAATGGCAAGTGGCTGAAGTTCATTACCATCTGACCCTGCAGGATGGAAGCCAAAGCATTTTCAAGTACCAATCAATTGTTTCTGTTTTCTTCGTTGAAGCAAGAGGGACTCTGGGGAAAGAGTGAAGTGACAGATATTTAAGGACAATTTGATTTGTCTTTGTCTCCCCACAGCCCTGAGAACAATGCCTTCACAGAGCACAATTCCAAGAATATATACTGATAGAACCAGTGTCAGGAAGTTTAAATGGACTGTGATGAATGGATACCTTATTGACATTCAGAAAACCGTGTTTTCTGTCCTGAGAACTGGTCTGTAGGGGCCAGACATGGCTAGAAACAAAACCATTTCAGACAGAAAAGCAAACTGGACATCCTAAATTTGTCTCTCTGACATTCTTGCTACTTCTACGTGAGAACAAACCATGGAGGCTAACATGGTCATTGCCTGCCGCGGAGGGTCTGAGGACGTCTCCTCATCGTGGGGTCGCCACAGCCCCGGACGCAGGGCCAGCTATCTGCTGCTGGGATGTGTACCTAATGGCCATCCCCGGGGAGCCCCCTCTCTGTTCTTGACTCCCCAGGCTGGCTTTCATTGGCTTTTCAACGAATGCTGGCCTCAGACAAGCATGGGAGATGTAGGCACTGGGAGGGGATGAGGGTATATACCAGCTCTCCCCAGCGACATGAGAAAGGCCCATTCAGCATGCAGGGCAAGTGACCAGAACAGTCTGTTTTTCTTTTTGGCAAAAAGTCTTGATTTGTAAGAGGTGATGGCTATAGGCTGACAGCCATCTCTGTGTGGCCCTGGGGGAAGCAATGGCCCTCCTCACGTTCCTACGGAAGAAGACCTAATGTGGTAGGTGGGGTTAAGGACATGATCTACAGATCAGAGGTTCTCAAACTTCAGTGGGTGTCAGAATCACCTGGAGGGGTAATCAAGCACACACATGCCCAACTTGTAGTAGGACAGGGCCTTGAGCTTTCTGTTTTTACAAAGCCCTTCCGTGGATCCAGATCCCCACCAACATTTGAGAATCACTGGTGTACAACAACAGAGAGAAGGGAACCAAGAGTCCTTGTGTTTGAGCAGCTTCATCTAGTTGGGGAGGAAACTAAAGGAGAGAGGGAGAAGTGAAACACAAAAGTGAAAAATACCAAGGAATCTGCAAATCACTATGATTGATGAGTTGGTTGTTGTGGGTGTCCATGGAAGGGACACCCGAACCCAGACCCAAAAGAGATGTTGTCTGCATAGAGGTAGAAACAAGATGGGGGCAAGACCCAGCTACTGGGCAGAATATGGCAGTCCAGAGAGCTACAAAGTGTGCATGTACCTGGGGGCAGGAACATCGAAAGGTCAGGTCGATTTTGAGGGTTCTGAGGTCAGTCTTTAAGAATCCCTGGTACTTTTCCTCACTCTTTGAGCACTTCTTGAGCATGAGGTGCCAGGCCCTGGTATAATGAGATGAACAGGGAACAGGGCCTCATTGTATAGCCACTCAGTATCTGGTACAGGAAAGAGAGGTAAAAACAGAAAATTATGTTGCAATCGTCTCTACCCTGTAAGAAAAGGATTTTTTGAAGGCCTATGAGAGGAACAACGATTGTGCTTGGGGGAGTCTGAGAACTCTTCCTGGTTTGTGTAAAAACCAAGCTGGTCTTAAAGAACATCAGCTGGAGGAACAGCATGTCCTAAGGTACAAAGATGCCAAGAGCTTGGCGTATTCAAGGGAAGGTGGGTCTTCAGGGCAGTGACAGGCCTCCCATGCCATGCTACAGTTCACATGTCGTCTTTTGGGCATAAGGAAGTCAATACAGTCTTTTGATTTGGAAAACTGCAAAGGTCTTTCTTTAAATGATGATAAATCTGGAGGTATTGATAATAGTAGACTCAAGAGGAAGAGGGGAACACAGCTATTCCTTTGAAATAGTCTGGGTGAGAGATGATGAGATTCAAACATCCAGCACTGCAGACAGAGACAAAGGGCACTTTTGATGCACATTTCTGAGTTTGTTTGTTTTTTAAGATTTTACTTATTTATTTGACATAGAGAGACACAACAAGAGAAGGAACACAAACAGCGGGAGTGGGAGAGAAAGAAGCAGGCTTCCCACCGAGCAGGGAGCCTGATGCAGGGGTTGATCCCAGGACCCTGAGATCATTACCTGAGCCAGAGGCAGATGCCTAACAACTGAGCCACCCAGGCGCCCCTACATTTCTAGTTCTCAGTTAGAGGACCCAATCATCAGTGGAGCACCATTAGAGCATGGACCTGCTGATTTAGAAATATCTGTAGGACCCATCTGGAGGTTAGGACTAGAAGTATCTAAGGAGTCATCATCTTGGGCATGGTGGCTGGACCAGAGGACTGTGAATGAGATGATTGTAAAGAACCAGTAGCACATGAAGGCCAAACCAAAGTAGAGATCTGGGAACATCCCTGACTTAAGGAGTGACTGGAGGACACATGAGGGGAGACTGGCTGAGGAGTTGGCTCAGGAGCTGAACCCTGGAGCGGATCCAGCCTCTTACAGAGCCCAAGAATGGGCCCCAGTAAGGAATGGCCAGGGAAATTTCCTTCTCAGAGAATGTATTTACCTTTCTAATGGATCACACCCTTGTTTCACTTCGTCATAACTCAAATTCAAAGAAAGCCCAGCCAAGGGCTAAATGCTTAATTGAAATAAAACATCAGCAACTTTCATTTATTGAGTGCCAGGCTCTGTGCTAGAAAATTACTTATACTCTTACTGTCATCCAACCCACATCACCAGAACCAATATTATCATTGGGACTGCTAATTTGATGTATAGCCTCCCTAGGGAGATCACCAGGATCAGGTATCTTAAAATGTCCCAGCTTATACCTGCACTGCTTTGAGGGCAATGTCTACTGAAACTGTTTCCCTCTTTACTCTGAAATCCTGCAGCGCTTCTATAACATAGCTATTATAATACTCATAACGTGTATGCTATGTTCCGATTCATAATAAAAATAGTATAAGACATATAAAAGTGTGTTCCTTAAAAAGTGCCAGACAATGCTGTCACCATCTGCTTTGAGCTCTATTGTTTTGGTCTTCTGAAATAAGTGGTGAATTTGGAGGGTAAGAAGTCATGTCCTCCCCTCCGTCTGTGTCCTCTATGCTGGTGGACTGTAGGCACTTAATTCATGTTTGCTAACTGAGTAAAAGAGAGTAAAACTGACATCACTTTTAGGGTCAGCAAGGAATAAGTGTACAAGTTTTTGTTCTTCCTTCTTAGAAGTTGGTGGGATTTATGAAGAACATGGCTTTTGGTGAGTGTAAAGTGGCCTCTGGGGGCGTCTGGGTGGCTCAGTCAGTTAAGCATCTGCCTTCAGCTCAGGTCATGATTTCAGAGTCCTGGGAACAAGAGGCCCATGCTGGGCTCCCTGCTCAACAGGGAGTCTGCCTCTCTCTCCCCCCTGCTCATGCTCTCTCTCTCTCTCAAATAAATAAATAAAATCTTTAAAAAAGGTGGCATCTAGGATAATAATGGGGCATCAATCAGAAGACCTTCAAATCTACCTACTCACCCACCTGACCTACACACCTGCCTACAGCCTATAATCTCAGTTATCTTGTGGACTGACCTGCACCCATTGAGGGAGCTGCTTTCACTCAGCACGAGAACCCCTCCGATGGGTATGCACCCCTCCTTCTCCCATGATCCACCCTAATCACTTGATGTTGACAGGACCCAGCTGGGCAGACCACCTGGCGGCTCATCTGTGCCTTGCCCTGAAATCCCATTTTAACATGGGCGGCAACAATGGAACCAGTAACTGGGTGCGAGCCATCCTAGTTGGCAACATTGGCTGGAAGGTCCTTGTCTCTGTAGGACAGATGGTGGCCTTCAGCATGAACAGCAGAGTTGTGTGGCATCCTGGGGCATTTACAGAAATTCTGGTTGGGACCACCAGAAACAGAATGATGACATCATGTCACGGAGAGCCATGGGTCGTCATTTTAGACCAAAAAACATGTGGGAGAGGTGTCTGGGAGGGTGAGTGTCCCTTGGAAACAGACCCTGTTAAGTCACCAGTCCAGCGCCTCTGGGGAGGGCAGCTTTTGTATGAAAGCAAGAAGAGTACCTTGTCTCTGAGAGAAAAGAATGAGAAAATGTGAGAAAGAGCTGTATTCTTGAACTGGGATGTAGCCGGAAGGAGAAATGGCCACAGCCGGGACTTTCCTGCTTCTGCCATTGTTTGTGTGAACCTTTCTCTTTGTTGACTGCCATGCCATCGGGTATTGGTGGGAGGGAAGGGAGGAGAAGTACATGGAGAATCGAGGTGCATGAAACCAAGAACATGGTCTTTGAGGACAAAAGTACAATGATCCCTGGGTGTTGGCCACAAACAGGAAGTTAACCTTTAGTGGCCCAAGGCACCTGGGATTTCCCTTCAGAGGCTGCCTGACTCTCAAAGACCTGTTGTCATGATACATTTATGGGGAACCCCTTGTGCTGCCGTGCCTGGGGTCTGCCCTCCCCAGAGCACTGCAGGTGGACTGAGGAAGAGGATAATTACAGAGGTTCTGTGTGGTGATTCAGAGCCACTGCCGGAGCTGCCCTTCTTCGTCCTCTGGGCCAGGGAGGTGCCGAAGCGGAGGGTCTCATAGACAGGGTCCACCTTATTGCCACAGGCTGCAACGGAAGAGAAAGGTCGTCTGAGTGACGGGTTTCCTCCACTCACCATCAGGAGGGCAGCCAAGCATTTATCATACCTTCTGGGTCAACAGCACTTAACAAGAAGTTTCTGCGCCACAGGCTCACTAGTAACCCCTGGGAAAAAAGGAGCTGTGTGTGGTCAAGCTCACTGGGCAGATGGGCCCCCCACAATATGTGCCCATTGACCAGGTCCTTCCGGTGCACCCACCATGTATACCCAGAACTCTCTGCTCCCAGATGCTTCCTGATTTATTGGTTTTCCTCTTTTGTTATCCAGCCTCAGGACTCCAATATCAAGCTTCTTCCCAGACACCAGCTTTATTTCCCCTAGTGTGAGGTTCTACTCGCCAAGGTTCAAAGCCTTGAGCAAGACTTTAAGTTTGTTGTAGGAGGCAAGTGTTTTTGAAGGAATTTGACATTACCAGGCCTTGTGAATTTCTGTTTAAAAGCTTTCTAAGTTTAAAACTTGTTCCCCTCCAAAGGCAAAAAGATGTAGAGATTCTCAAAGAGGGAAAAAAATAGAAATAAACTGAAAGATATTGTTACAGAATAAACTGAAGGCAGAAATATCTATAAATATAAGACATTTTTTGATCCTCATTAAAGAAAAACGGATATTCAGAGTTCCTTCCAAGCATTGGTCTATAATTTATGTTTGTTTGTTTATTTGTTTGTTTGTTTGCAATAATTAGGAAAGGCAGCTTTTGCTGTTCTTCACTTGTAGGGTCTGACAGTCTGAGTAACTTGTCCAGACACAGTTAGTGGGTCAGCAGGGAAGCTGGGCTCCGAGGCAGGTGTGTGGGATGCTAGGCTCCAAGTTCTTCCCACTCTGCCATGCTGCTGATGGGTGGAATAGTGTATCAGCAGCCTTTGAAACTTGGGTGTTTTTCAAACTTCATCGGGGAGAGAGTTTGCTCCTCCTTAGATCTCCTCTCCAGAAAAGCAAACAATCATAACATAATCAGCCACCAGACAGATGCACAAACATAGCCCTTTGGGTCTGCAGTCCCAAGAAAGGAGAGTAACAGCTATTAAGGCTGACACTGCTGCCCAAAACCAACTCAACTCATCAGCGTCCCAACTCACCGATGGGCATAACTTCTTTAATACATCCAAACTGTTCATGAATGAGCAAGGGGGAGCTGTAGTAACGCCGAAACCCCTTTGGCTGGAAAAAGAATGAGAAAGAGAAAGGCTTAATGTCACAGAGGTGATGGAGAAAACCACACAAGAGTTCTGAAAATCATACCAGCTGATTTTTCCAGGGGGAACCCCTCTGTCGCCCTTGAAGATGCTGACTTGTCCTTGAATTTATCCCTGGTGGGGGGATAGGGCGGGAGGTAAAGGTGGCAATAAGCAAGCTACACTCCACCCAAAAAGCAAGCCCCAACCCTGCCCTTCCTTTTCCTGCCTCTCCTCCTTCGGGAAACCTTAGCAGCCTCCCTTGTGTCTAGGTTCCCCATTATCTCCCACAATACAAATGGACTGGCATGCATTATTTCATAGCAGTTCACGATTAAGGTTTATTAAAATCATAAAAGACCTGGGCCAGGGGAAGCAGACCTCAGAGGGAGGCCCAAAAGACCTTGTATATGTGGCACCCCCAGAGTCATTTGTCTTGTGTTCTAGACTCTATCATGTTTTTCTAATCTCTCATGCATAGTCTTTGCCTTGGTTTGTGGGAATCACCATTGGAAGAGAAGGAGGGGAACAAGTGAGGCAGGGGTTTTAGAGAAGATGACACTGTCAATCAGAGAAAGGAGATGAACTCTCTAAGAACCCTGACTTACTATATCCCAGCACTGGAAGCACTGGAAGAAGCACTGGAAGTTTGTGGCCCAGCCCCTACTGGAATTCCCAAATCCTCGCCCTTGTTCCTGGCAGGTGGTATCCTCTTTTTATTGAACACTGCCATTTCTGAGGTGTGGGTGGGAGGAGCTCTCACTAACCAAGGAGGCAGGTCTTTGGTGACTTTATCTCTTTGTTAAGACTTGGTATCTACTGATCCTACGTCTTTTCCCTGCAGCCATAGGACAGGAGATAATTCCTCTTCTGTATGACAGGTCTTAAATTTTTTTTGAAGGCAGCTGTTACAGTCCAAGTGTCTCTAGGCCAGACATTCTTGGTCCCCTTGACAGTTCTTTGGCCATCCTAGTATCGATACCCTCAAAAATGCTTTGGGTTCCTTTTTTTCCACATGTTGCCCCAGTACTGAAGCCCATGCTCCCAAGATGCTAAGACCAGCCTAGAATGGGCCACGGTCATCTGATCTTCTTGGCTTGGCCGCCATGATCTCTTAAAGTCATACATTGATTTTTATTACTCACTCCATTTTTAGGGTGGTGGTTAATCTCTCTCTCTCTCTTGACATCCGCTGAGCCAATTTAACACTGAGGTGACCAACCACCCTCATTTTTCTGGGCAGAGAGGGTTCCAGGGATGCCTCACTTTCAACTTCAAAACATGGACAGTCCCAAGATGTGGGCCTTGCAGTGCTAACACTGGAAAAGTTCCAACCCGGGACAAGTCAGTCACCTTGTTAAGGACACAGAGTCTTTTTCACATGGGGAACATTTGTCTCTCAGGATGATAAAGCTGCTCTTCTGCTTGGTCATTAGGCCAACAAGGAAGCCTGGTTGGTAGGCCAGGGACTTGGGGGCTGCCTCTCTAGTGCCTGGCTATGAGGGTGGAGGAGCTTGGATAGGCAGGGGGGTCTGGGCTCACTCCTGGCACCGGCCCTTACCAGCTTGCCCATGCACCGCTGGGGTGCTAGGCCATCCATGCACTTGTGGTGGAGACTCATCTTACAGGCCTTGCAGCGCAGCCCATGCTTAGCGTTTGCTCCTGTCAGACATGCGCGAGCTTTGGTTAGGAGACAGCCTGCCTTCACCTGGTGGCTAGCAAGAAGTCCCTGAAAGAGGGGTTAATCCCCAGACCCGGGTAATTCTTCTTCTCTCACACACTGAAGTCGCGTGATGCTTTTGAAATGGACAAGCTCTAATGGTAGATTCTTTGACCTTCTCCCACATCTGGTACCACTTCAGGTACCAGCTCTGGTTTCCTTCTACTCATTTCCTTTTCATGACTCCAGAAAATCTCAGTCTCCTCCATGTCACCTTTCACTCATTTCAAGCTAGCAAATGCCACTTTCTTGCTCCTCAGAGAGGTCACCCATTTCCGCTCCTCTGTAAGTCTTGCCAAGGAGTGCAAGTGCTGCAGTTTTGCCCATTTTTACCCAAGTTTCTGTCACAGAGTCTGAGCTGTTGGACAGACGCTCAGGAAAATGGCCAATAAAGGGGGAATGGCACAGTCTGTGTGAGAGACAGGCTGACGGTACATAAAGTGGGGACGGAGGTCCAACACTAGCTCCTGGCTGGTGGAAGAGGAGCAGGGTCAGTGAGAAGCAGGCCATGAGAACACTGCTTCAGGGAGTCATCCAGCCTCCCGGGACAGGGTGCTGTGACAGGGTGGGAAGAAAGGAGACAGAGGAGAGAGGTCCCTTGGAGCCATTGCTGCAGAAGTGAGGCTCAAGGCAGCAGTGTTGGGGGGCAGACACAAGGGTCTCAAAGACGTGGGGGGTGCTGGCCACCTGCATTCACGATATGCAGAGCAGTTAGAGGGAGGTTAGGTGAGGATGTCAGGGTGGGACGTTTTGTCTCCATTTGGCCCAAGACAAGACAGAGTGAGTGAGCTGGTAGGTTCCTCATACACCCCCAAACATGGGCTGCCAAAATGGGAGTTTATAGCTCTTAGATGACCAAGCACATGAAGCACATCAGAAAAGTGAGGAAAGGGGATACAGGAGAGGGTTTCCTTATGGAACTACTGAGGTCCTACTCCTTTCATCCTGCTCCTCCCACATAGCAACAAGGGTGGGACCGTCTCTACTCAGTCCTACTTAGAGAAGCTTCAAGGAGATTATTTTAAAAGCTTGGCTTATATCCCCTGGAGTCTGCAGGACACACAGCTGTGGCTATACCCACATGAAGAATGCTGACCAAGAACACCGCTGCACAGGCAATGGGACTCCCAACATCTCATAGGCATTAACTCATACATATACTCGGAGACATGAGGCCGCAGATAGACCCCGCTACAAACACAGCTGATTACAGAAGCAAAATGAGGATCATATGTGAAAACCACCCTCCTCTCTGCCATCCAAACCACCATTGGCCCTTGTCCAGACTAATTCCTAACTGAACTAGTTTATCTGTGTTTGTCTTCCTCCAATGCATGCGCAGGAACCAGAGCAATCATTTAAACATGACTTGAATCACTTCCCTCTCTTGTGTAAACAGCTTTCAGTAGGTTCTCCCTGCCTTTCTGGCATTATACAAAATGCTCAGCATGGTGGGGAGGCTTTGTATGATTTGGTGTGAGCCCATACTTGCTCCTATCTTAGGCCAACCCCCTTGTTTGCTATGCTCTAGCCACCTGGCCTTCTGCGAGTTCTCTGAAGGCATGAGCTCTTTAATTCCTCAGGGTCTTTCACACATGTAGCCCTAAATGTTCGGAATGTTGTCTACATCACTCCTCACCTGGCTGGTTGGTCCTCATCCTTTGGGTCTCTTGTCATTCCTCCCATGAAGCTTTCTTGGCCACATTTCTCCTTTCCTGTCTAAATTATCTTTTTTTTGTTTAAAATTAATCTTTCTTGCAGCTTTCTGTTGTTTTTCACGCATTTATCACAATTACTCATTCAAGAGTTTGTTTTTATATGCCTTTCCTCCTGGACTGTGAACCCAGTGAGGCTAAGGGCTATGTTTGTTCATCTGTCACTGTGTACCCAGCTCTGAGCATGATGACCAATAATATGTGCTAAATACATTAACCAACAAATTCTCTCACCGTCACACATGTACTCAAACAGGAGTGACTGAGATAATTAAGAGAAGTTGATTGATTGATTGTATAGAAGCAGCATTCCAGAGCTGAGAGAGGACTTAAAGATCAACTGTAGGCATGATTTTATTCCACAGATGAGAAGGCTGAGGTACCAGGTCGGGGTCCTGCCTAGTATCACTTTTCCTCTGCTTGACCCTAAAACTTCCTCCTTTATTGGGAGTAAGGTACATGAAGATATGAAAGGGGATAATTAGATAATTAAAAAAAAAAGGAGAGTACAAGAACCAGATATTCAGCTGGGAAAAGCCATGGGCAAACTCTTGTCTGGACAAAGATCCACAAACCCTACAGGAGGTATTACCTGAAAACTGCCCTCCAGAAGGTATCATTTAACATAAAGTGTGTCTGCGCTTACAACCACAGAAAAGCAAAGTGACATATAAACAAACCATAAATTACTGGGTATGTGTGCTTGTTCATAAATACTAATTGGAAAGGTTCTTTTCCTTTTTTTGAGAGTGGTTATTGCAATGCCTTTTAAACACTGGACTTTGAAAACAATCACTCATTTTTTTTGTTTTCAAATTAGAGAGTGCTATTTGTGCCCTATGAGAGAATGTAAGTAAAAGCTTCAAAGAAGAGTTATTTCATTGTGTGCTGGACTCTGAAATAGCACTATTATGTATTAAGGTATATTTTCCTTCAGACCTGAACACCGTAATTTCAGTTTTCCTTGTCTGTTCTAATACACTCCACTATTTGAATGAGTCAGATCACCAGCAATAATTTGGTTTTAGGTGTTCCAATTTCTACAGTGGAATAGCATGAGTGTGACTGAAGAGGAAAGCCTGTATTCTGTGGTTCAGAGAATAGTTCAAAGGGATAATTCACATCACTCAATGGTGTTAGTTTACTGTAGCAGGATATGGGAAAGCTACAGTCTAGTCCATTACTAGTGACCTCTATCACAAAGGCATCACTGAATGTGACCCTTATGCCTCAGTAAGAGTGGGAAAAACATGGTTTTAAATTAGAATCTGTCTCATGCTGGCCCCTTAAACTTATGAAAGTTACTAACATTCCCAGAGCCTCAGCTGTCTCCTCATCAAATGGCAATGCTTCTAAGTCCTCCCGGGGTTGCTAACAGTAATAGTGTCAAAATACATGCAAAGGGGATTGCATGGATTTAAATACTTGGAAACATAAAGATGTCACTAGACGCTGAGTAAACATGGTGGACTGGCCACAAGAGAGTCCCATTTATTCATACCAAATCCCCCTAAAATGTCAGTCAAATAATAAAAAGTGACATAGCCCCCAAATAACAAGGTTACCAGGAAGAGTGGCAAGCATAGAAGAGAGTTCAACATGTATTCAGAAGATAGAAAGCAACTGGAGGAAGGGCAAGGAATTTCATAGAAAAGGGGGAGACAGAGTTGCCTATAGCAATTTGGAAATGGGGGGATCAGGGACTGTTGAAAATTGTGGAATTTCAAAATTCTGAGAGAAAAGACTTTCCAACCTAGAATTTTATACCCAGGCAAATTAGTAACAATTATGTAGGCAGAACAGACACATATTCAGGGACTCCAAATTTTTGCTTTCCATACACCATTTCTCAGAACACTAATGAAAAATGTGCCTCAGAGAGATCAGGGAATAAATCAAGGAAGAGGAAATTGTTGGATCCAGTGCAAAACAAAGGAACCGACACAGAGGGAAGGTAAATGATAATTTACCTGAAGTAAGGCCATATCCTTGGGGGAAAAATGGAACTTAGAAGTGTATTGATGCCTTTCAGGTTTGGATGCTGTAATAGATATGGCACCTGATAGAAACATTTGAAAAAAATTATAGATGCATAAAAAGTCAAGAGAATTAAAAAGGTGATTTCTCCTTGAGGAAATATAAAAGCTGTGTAAGAATAGAAATGTAATCCTAATACAATATTTGAATCAGAAGCTAGAAATACACACAATAGTGTATACACAGACTATCAAGTTCACACAAAATTGTGACATAACTACTTGGGAAGATGAGAACAAAGGGAGAGCAAAGATTGTGCTGTATGTAACTCTTATTGGAAGGTGAGAGTGAGGCAGAGAACAAACAGGGGGTGCTGGAGGGTGGCAGCCAGAAGTCAATAAATATTTCATTAATCAACAAAGAGTAAGCACAGCATTTAGACATATTGAAATAAATGCCAAAGGAACAATTGCAGAGGATGAAAGTAGCTACCTTTCAGAAGTGTCCTAGTTGTAGGATGAGAAAGTTTCCAATGAAGTATTTTCAGTACCATCTGTACTGTATTTAAAGTACTCTCGTGTCCTACTGTGGCAAAAAGCAAATGAAAATGAAGCTGCTGGAAGCTGGGTCCTATCAGCCCCTTGGATTGATGTGGTTTGTGTTATATGGAGATACAGGGAAAATAGGGAGCTGGCTCATCATGTAACAATCAGTTATTCTCTGGGGCTTGAACTTCTGGGATAAACTAAGATAGTTCTATGAGTTACAGTGGAAAATTGTTAAGAATGTTAGTTATGATACTCAGATGGAGTTTTGAATGGATCAGTGCAAGCCAGGACAACAATGACTAACTTCCTGGCATTGGGCTTTTTTATGAGCATGGTTGGGTCTACCATTATGGATAAGTAAGCTGTCCCTAGAGGAACCAAGTGTTGAAGCTCTTGTGAATAAAGAAGTCTCTATATAGATATTGGGAGAAATATAAAAAGGGTTTTCTCAATGAGAATGGTTAATCAACAACACTGGATGACAGGCTACTTTTTTTTTTTTTAAATAACATTAATTATATATATACCTATAAAAGAGTTGGCAAGAATCATTCTGATAACATTTGGCCATTTAAGCATTGCTTAACTCTTAGTCACATTTCATATTATATCTCTTAAAAATAAAACAGGATAAACCAGGGGTTTACAATCAAGACCCCTTAACCAGGAAAATAACATGGAGAATGAGGGTCCAATGCTGGG